CACGCGCCTCACACGCACGCACACTCACGCACACTCACTCACACTCACACCGAAAAGCAGCGGCCGCATAACAGCCGGTGCCTCCTCACAGGGACCTGAGGGGGGGGGGGAAAGGGGGCGCGGAACACGGCCGGGTTGTCGCAAAAACGTCGCGAACGCTAGGGCTTCCTCGGGCCCTCCCACCGCCCGCCTGCCGCTCCTCGGGGAACCGTGGAGGCGAGAGCTGTACACCACGTGGGCTGGACCGAACGCAGGCTTAAGTCCTAGACTACAATGCCCACAAGGTACGAGCACTACTGGCACCGCCCCTTCAGAGTTCGACCCCACGCCGGGGCACTGTAGTGAGAGTGGTGCATGATGGGATCTGTAGTCCGTATTGAGATGCGTTCCACGACTTCTTGTTGGGTGCTGTCCATTCGATTCTATGACACTCCCGTAGGATTTTCATCAATGTTGGGTTTTTTTAAACATTTGTGTTTGTGTGTGATTTGAGTAAAAGCTTATAGAGTAAACTGGTTTTCCATTCAACAATTTATACACATTTTGTTTCGTGACGATGTTGTTGTTGTTAGGTGCCATACAGTTGGTTCCACTCAACGATCTTAAACACTGTAGGGTCCTACGCAAACTTTACAGTCATTGTCACGCTTGCGTCCATTACTGCTGTCATTGTGCCAATCCATATCATCGGATGGTCTTCCTCTTTTTCACTGACCCTCCACTTTATCAACCATGATTTCCTTCTCTGTGGACTGGTCCCTCCTGATAATATATCCAAAGTATGTGAGATGAAGTCTGGCCATCTTGGCTTCTAAGGAGCATTCTGGCTGTACCTCCTCCAAAACAGATTTGTTATTCTGGCAGTCCAAAACCATAATTCAAATGCATCAATTCTAATACAGTCTTCCTTATCCACTGCCTAACTTTCACATGCATATGAGGAAATTGAAAATACCATGGCTTGGGTTATGCGCACTTGAGTCCTCAAACTGTCATCTTTGCTCTTTAAGATTTTAAAGAAGTCTTGTGCAACACAATTTGCCTAAAGCAGTACGTCATTTGATTTCTTGACTTCTGCCTCCTTGAGTGTTGATGAGCAAAATGAAGTCTGTGGCAACTTCCATCTTTTCTCCATTTATCTGGACATTGTTTACTGATCCAGTAGTGAGGATTTTTGTTTTCTTTACATTGAGATGCAACCCACACCAAAGGCTGTGGCCTTTGATCTTCATCAGTAAGTATTTTAAGTCCTCTTGACCTCCAGCAAGCAAAGTAGCATCGTTTGCATATCACAGGTTGTTAATGAGTCTTCCTCCAATTCTGATGCCATGTTCTTCTTCATGTAATCCAGCTTCTTGGATTTTTGCTCAGCATACAGACTGAATAAGTATGGTGGAATAATACAACCCTGGCCCATACCTTGGTACCCACCTTGATTGTATTATACACAGTGTAACGCAATCATCTTTAGGAAAGCAGATCACTAGGTCATCCTCCTGTAGAGCGTCTGGGTGGGTTTGAACCACCCAACTGTCAGGTTACCAGCCAAGGGCTTAATCAGTGCATCACCAGAATTTCTTTTCAATTTCTTAGGGAACACTCAACTTTAATCTCTTTTTTGGGAACTCTTTTTTTTCTTTTAATGTCTTCAGAATCTGCTCCCATAAATATTTACAGCCTTAGAAAGTCACAGGAACAGTTCTACTGTGTCCAACTGGGTTGCTATGGGTCCGAATCTTCTAGTTGGGAGTGGGTTTGGTTTGAGTGAGCTTAGAGTCTAATTTGGACCATCAGCTTGGTCAAGGAAATTTACATGTCCAGGAGGCTAGTCTGTATTATTGTTGTTTTTGTTAAGTGCCGTCAAGTTGGTTCTGACTCATAGTGACCCTGTGTAGGGTTTCCGAGGAGCAGCTGGTGAGCTTGAACCACCAACTTTGAGTTTCAAACCAACCTTGCCGTCCAGTGCATTAAGCAACAGCGCCTCAGTTTGGGGGCCACATGGCCGTCACCGTGCTGTAATGTCTGCACAGTACTGTTGACATGTTGCAGAAGATTCAGGAAGGTTGGTCAGTGACGACCGCCTGTTACTTCTAAGAAAGATGCCCACCCGAATGTTCCCATCCTTTCAAAAGGAAGGTCATACACTATGTATAGAAGGAGACTCATTTTAGCCATGAGATTACAGTAATGGAATTAAATCAATGGGAACACATTTGCTGATGAGGTGAAGGAAGAAACCATGTGATGGACATGGACATCTTCACAATAACCCTGCATTTTGTCTTATCCCTCTTATTTGCACATCTGTTTTATTTTGTTTTTAATTTTTGATTTCCAGTTCTTACCATTTCCACTAATGTTTCCCGGTGTCCCAAGACATGTGATAGCTCCTATTTTTAAGCACCCCCCCCACCTGTCCTGTGGTACTCATGAAAACCCATTTTGTCTTGTACTTGCTCTCCCTTGCAATATTAATAGGTACCTGGGAGACACAGTGGATTAAGGACTGGGCTGCTAACCAAAAGGTCAGCAGTTTGAATCCACGAGAGAAAGATAAGACTGTCTGCCCATAAAAGTCGACACTCTCAGAACCTCTAGGGAAGAATTCTACTCTGTCCTACTGGACTCCTGGTGTGGTGCTGTAGGATCAGTGCTGGACTGCAAACCACAAGGTCAGCAGTTCAAACCTACCAGCTGATCCTCAAAAACTGTATACAGGCTTGCTATGAGTTGGAACTGAATCTTCAGCACTTAACAAGAACAACAATAGAGAAGTAGAATCAACTTGACAGAAGTGGGTTAGCTTGATTTTGGTTTTGCTAGATTAAGAATTTCTGTTTTGTTGTTGTTAAGTTCCAATGAATCGGTTCTGACCCATAGTGACCCTATGTAGGGTTTCCGAGGAGTGGCTGGTGAACTTGAACCAGCAGCAACCTTGTGGTTTAAACCAACTTTGCAGTCCAGCACATTAACCCACCACGCCACCCCCAGGACTCTCCATAAATTCCTCTAGGGAGTCATATTACTATCTTCCTTAAATCTAGCCTCACCCCTTGATTATGCTGCACAGTAAGTATTTGTTAAATTAATGAATGAATAAACGTGTTTTTGTCCAAAATATCTATGTCCAGATGACAGCAATGCCATTTTGTGAAAATTCTCAAGAGTTTCTTTTACATAAATTTACTTGGCAAAAATACTGACTTCACCATTAGTTTTTGTTAAGTAGTTTTTACTTTGTCCATTAAATATTATTTAGTGTTTAAGTAGGATAAGCACTGGACTGTTCATTACAAGGTCGCCGGTTCAAACCCACCAGCTGCTTCCCAGGAACCCTATACAAGGTCACTATGAATCAGAACCAACTCAGTGGCACTTAACAACAATAACAAGTACACTGGCTGACGTTAAATGACCCTGAGTTTGAATCCTGATTTGCCCTTTATTAGCAGTGTGGCCTTGGACAAACTCTGAGCCTCAGTTTCTATCTTTGCAAACTAGTGATGCCAAAGTTCCAATTTGGCAGATGTGCACAACAAATGTTAAGCTTTTGTTCATGAGATGCTACCTGCTACTAGCCAGTGATGTCATTTGGGTGACTTGCAGGCAGAAGCATGTCTTTGTAAAGTTAAAGAATTACATCTTTTCCCCTGAGTATGGATTAAGACTAGAGTCTTCCTGAAAATTAATTTTGTGTCTTTTGAGTATCTTTTTGGTACATAGATCTTGAGAAACCAAGCCATCATCACGGGAAAACTGTACAGAACTATGGGACTGGGCTTAATGCCACACTATGGGGCCCACCACCACCTACATGAAATGGTTGAACATGGACTTCTTTCAATGAAATGTCTTGGGGTCCTTTTTGCTTTTGTTTCCCAATTATGTATTATGTAACAGCTGTCAACAGCTCCATTTTCCTTGGGTCAGCTGCTCCGCGGGAGAAAGATGAGGCTTTCTACTCCCGTAAAGATTTACAGCCTCGGAAAACCCTGTACAGGGTCGCTATGGGTCGGAACCGACTCAACGGCACTTAACAACAACAACAACAACATATTTTACTGACAGCATTTACCTTTAAATGTACTTTTGAATATTATTTTCTCCCTGGCCTTCCTGTGGATGAAGGAAAGAATTCTCTGGGCAGGAACTGAATGTTCTGCTTGTCAGTACCTTGGGGCAGGAAAGGCAGCTGGCCTTGGACTAGGGGTCAGAGTTGCTGTGGAATAGATTCCAACTCATGGAGACCCCATGTGTGTCAGAGTAGACCTGTGCGCCGTAGAGTTTTCAGTGGTTGATTTTTTAACCAAGAGTAGCTTGTTAGGCCTTTCTCTGAGGCACTTCTGGTTGGTCTCAAACGGCTAACCTTTCAGTTAGCAGTCAAGTGTATTAACCATGAACCCACGGTAAAAAGAGAAGAGTCTGTCTGCTAGTCTCTCTGAAGACAGGGTGAGACTTAGAAGTCTGGACTTCAGGATAAGGGAGTATAGTGGCAGAGATAAGCTGGCCCCTTCATGCACCAAGATGACGAGGAGCTAGAAATGCGGCCCCCTGAATGTGGGGGCCGCATTCAGGGGGCAGGGCCACTGTGAGGAGCTGTTGTAATTGTAGCTAGTTGTTGTTAAGTGCCGTCAAGTCGATTTTGACCCATG